CAGGCTCCTTATTAGGTTACAGAAGCTAAAATCTTTCAATTTTGCCTCCAGCCGGACTTGAACCGTTGACCTTAACTGTGGAGGGTATGGGAGCTTAACCGCTAAGCTATGGGACCCACACCCCATAATTTGATTTAATAATAAAATATTCAAAAGCATTTTACAAAAATAATTTAATTTAATGATAAAATATTTATAAGCCACTTACTAAAAATAGTTTAATTTAATAATAAGAAGTATAAAAGTTACTTTACTTAAAATAAATTTATTTACAAATAAGATACATAAAGCTACTTTACTTAAAATAATTTAATTTAATAATAAGACATAAAATATTTATTAAAAATAAATTAATTTAAAGAAAATTCTATTTACAATTAAATAATTTATTAAAATTTTTTTTTCTTTCACTTGAGCAGTCTTGCTAATCACCTTTATTATATATTTTTGTATTATATATATACAAATTAGTTCATAAAGTTTGGCCCAACATTCTGCAGGTACTTTTATGAGTCACTATAAGTAATCTGCCTTCACTAACTGTCTAACTTTAAAAGAAATTAGAGTATATTAGAGGCCATATCCAACCATTGTTCTATAATAGGATATTACTAATTTGATAACATCTTCTTATAAAGAAGTGAACAAAAACAAAAAAAAAACTTATATATAAAAAAATACAAAGGTATAGGAGTAAATGATAAAAGATACAAATGCAAAAAATAAAAAAGAGAAAGGTGAAAAGTGAAAAAAAAAGAAATGATATGTGCAACTTTTGTCATACAATTATCAGATAGTCACAGTTATAAGCCTGTATTGGGCTTTTAAAAATTATAAACTATATTAAATAGAAATAACTTTACTATTTTTCTATCTACTAAAATATTTAACAAAAACCATATAGGATAAAACTTCGACTTGAATATAAAGAGTTGGCATGGAGTACTAGTTGGTCTGGGAATAGTATTTTATGAAGTTTCAGCAGTTTGAGGCATATATATGAGTCATATTTATATTGTTGTATTGTTTACACAATTCTGATTAGAAAATAAATACTGCTAACTGTTTTGGTGTTTTATATATCAATCTTTTGGAAGCAGTAAACTGAATCAACCACTTTTTATAAAAAAAAAGAGTGAGTATAAGATGAACCAAACTATAGCTTTTGTGAGTGCTTAACCTTTCTGAAAGTTTTTTGTAAGTTTTACAGTTATATAAAAATAATATATTTAACACTGTTGTTTACTTTATAAGAGACTTTCACTTTTACCAACTACTTCTTCTATGATTCCAAAGCTTCTTTAAACTGTTATCACAAAGTAATAGCTTCTTTTTTAACTCTATTTTAATGCCTACTATGCATGCCCAATGCTCTGAAGAAGTTTTCATAAAGTTTAATATATTAACTATATTATTTTTCTTTAGTTCAGCATTTTGGAAAGTTTGGTTTAGATGATCAATTAAATCTAAAAAGCAAAATATAAATATAAAATAATAATTAAAAATAATAAAAGAATTTAAAACATTTTTTTGTATTATTTTAAATATTTTGTTATTTAATTTATATAATTATTTGTTATTATAAATTAAAATAATAATAAAATTAAACATTATTTGCTACAAAGATCAATTGATAAAAATTAATTTATCTAAAGATAAAAGATATTCATTAAATAAAAAATAAAAGTTTTTTTAGTTTGGTAAAATGCATCTACTTGATATACAAGATAAAGAACTAAATGTAATAACAGTTATATAGAAAATCTTTAACCTTGTACTAAACCTTTTAGAATCTTCTATATCTTATTTTTATAGTTAATATAATAATACTATAACTGAAACCAATACTTGCAGTTAAAGCATACCATTAAACTACTATGCTCTTGTAGAGTTTATTTTAATCTTAATACTTATTTTACAATATATTTCTACTAGTTTGATATTCAATTTAAGTTCTATCAAGCTTTTAGTTCAGATAGCCCAGAAAGGTAGATACAACCATATTTCTGGTTTACATATTCTTCAGCATATAATCTTTTTTTTCAAAATGGATTTTAGCAGCCTGGCTAGTTACAACAGCTTTTTTTCAAAGACTGTATTTTCATCTAACTTTACAAGTTTTAGCTCTGTTTTATAAGTTTAGTTTTTACAATAGCATTATTAAAAGTTCAAACTATCTCTTTACTTAGATCTTTTAAGTAAACTTTTATGATCTTCTAGTTATACTAATATGATATGAGTAACAAGTATCTGATCCTAACTAATAGTAGAAGACAGTTAACTGTAATATAAAAAGAATTAGAAATTTTCACTAATACTAAAATTTGAGTTAACAATATGACTATTTCAAATTTTTTTTTTTTATAATTATTACTTATCTACTATTATTAATAAAAATAATTATTATTAATAAATAAATAATATAATATAATATTTAAACATTATTTAATATAATAATAAAATCTACAAATTCAAAATAATTACATATTAAACCTATTATTAAAATAGTTTTATATATATAAATTCTACAATGCAATTATTATAATATTATACTATATATTTTATATTATATTAATAATTAAATTTTATTTTTTAATTAGATAGGTGATCAAGCCTTTGTTATTCATATAAAGAATATTAAAACTATTTTAAAACTACAACAAGCTTTAAATAATAATAGTATTGTTTATCAAAGTTTAATTAGTAGTTTAAATATAATGTTTGATAATATAATCAAGTAATTAATAATTAAATTAAATAATATAATGAAACTAAAATAAAAATTTATTATAATCTTGAAGAACTTAAACTTACTTTTAATAATAGATATGCAAAAAAATTTTCTTATAGTATTAATTCTGATAAAAACTATAAAAATAAGAATTATACTATAGTTATTACTTTTGTTTGCTAGTTTTCTAATTAAAATAAAAATAGTAAAAGAAAATATTCTAATAATAATGTTAGAGTTAAATTAAATTCTAATTGTTTAGATAATAATAAAAAAATTAAAAAATATTTTTTAGAATTAACTGCTATTGTTTTACAAATCAAAATTTTTAATTTAATTATTTAATATAATAATTTTTTTTTAAATATTAATAGTGAGGCCATGAATATAATAATTAATTTATTATGTTTATAAAATTTATTATAAAAAAGATGGTTGCTATTCTTATACTATGTGTATATACACCCATCACGTGATATTATATACAGTAATATAATTTATTATTTACAAATAATACAATTTAAACTATACAATTATTAATTTATATAAGTTATATTAACTAGTTACTTTATAATAAATTGTGTATTAGAAATATTTAGATCAATCTGAATAGATAGTTATGCATGCTAAAATTGTAAACTAATACATATGTATATACAGTACATATGTATTAATATGTAATAACTAGTCAAATATTATATTATTACATACAGTTAATCAAATATATGCAAAGTATATATGATGACAATATAAATATACAATAACCTAACTGCTAATAAGAACTAAAAGATACATATATACATATGCACATAAAAACTACAGTATCAGATATAGATAAATAAATATGTATATAGGTATGTATATACATACATATTTAAACATCAATTATCTATACAAACTTAATCAGTATAGAGTACTTTGATGAAAAGTAACATCAGAAATTCAATCAATATAACATTAAACCATATATAGAATGCACAAAATAAGTGCATATTCTGAAACTACCTAAGACATATTTGGGATTATAATTAAAATAACACTGTAATCAAATAACCTAGAAAAAATCAATAATTAATAATAAATCAATTATTATTTAACATATTAAAGAACTGAAAAGAGCATAGAAATAAAAAAAACTTAACTGAATCACTTCACTTTAAGAAATATTTATAATTTTTAATAACAAATCACAATCTCTTCAACTTTTATAATAATAAAATATATAAACAATTTTAAATAACCTTGAATGATGAAAGAAAAATATAACTAATCCAAGTGATCTATTAATAGTATCAATTTGCTTTGTTTATATATTTTATTACATCAAATGCTATATATTATATTGCATATAAACAAACTATCTAATACAAACTAACAATGCAAAAAACACTAATATTAAAAATATTAAGTCTTGGCAAGTTTTAGAATAGTAATTATATTTTTTGCACTTTCTATATATATAACTTTTTGTGTTATCACTATCCTTTGCTATATTTAAATTTTTATTATTTTTCTTTAGTACCTGTTTGCCCTTAAAAATAATATTATAATTATTCCTTATTATAGTCGAATGTTTATTATCCTTGAGTATCTGTTTGCCTTTAGAAGCAGTATACTCAACACTGGACTTCAATCTTTTTAGTAGTCAGCCTTTATGTATAGTGATATTAGGGTTTTGAATATCATAATTATTATTCACTTGTTGATGCTCATTAGTTTTATTTTGTGTATTATAAAGAAATGACTTGAAAATATCTAATAGTTCACAAGACATATTAGTGTTAATAGCAAAGTCAATAGCTTTTTTTGACAACCCAAATAATTTGCATATATAGTTTTGTTAGATTTTGTTGAATAAGAATTATATAGAATAGTGTGTGAATAGAAAACAAATGCCCAAAAGTAATATTTGAATGGTTAAATATAAATAATTCTTCTTCTGATCTAACTGCAGAACACACTTTAATAACTGGTATTTGCTATAAAAGTGTTTTTTGGCTTGTATCAAGTTTTATATATCAACATGATAAAATAATTATAATATGGAATATAGCTATTTGGGAATATGTTACAACATGAAAAAGTTGTCAACATATTAAGCCTTTATTTAATAATAAAAGGCAGATGCACAAATATGTACTATCATTTATTAATACTATATAATGTCCAATGCCTATTGCTCTAGTAGCATGAACATTCTACACTTTCAAAACTACTTCTTGAGCAATATTTCTAACTAATAACTTGAAAAGAACTTGCTGAACATCTTGTTCATGCTCTTGTAATCCAACATTAACATTTTCATTATCTTCATCCATCTACAAATAACAAATGTTATGTTTAATACAGATGCTATATAAATATATATATATACATATGTATATAAATAGCGATAAAATTCAAAAATAGAAATTTTAACAATGAAAATGATTAGTAATTATTATTAAAATTTCTTTTTTCAAATTCTACTACTATCTATATTATAAAATTTAAAAAAAATTAACATATATCAATTAGTTGCTACTATTTTATAATATAACTAACATCATAACATACTGACTAATTTATCTGCATACGTTGCTTTCTCAACATTGTAGGAGTCAAAAATTGCTTAAGAATATTATCAATCTTTTTAAAAAATATAGTGTTTAATGTTGGTAACTCTACTGTTGGTAAAGCATTACACTTGACCTCAAATTTTTCAAAATTTTCACTACACTTAATATAATCATTAATGTTATTTAAAAGATTACATAAAGAGGTAGATCAATCAACTTTATCATGTATTTGCTTGTTAATTAATTCTATTCTTTGTGTACTTTGAATACTAGCAGTAAATTAGTTACAGATCCAAGGTATACCCCATGACTCTTTATTACAATAAAGTGTTTCTGTTATATATTTAGTCGAAATAAGATATTGATTAAGCAAATGAAACCAACAGGCTTCAAACAGTTCAACACACAATGAATTTAACAAGAATAGAATTTTTGCCTAAATTCTCTAAAACAAGGACCTAACTTACTCATAAGCTTCTTACGAAGATTAAGGTCAATATAAAAAATACATAACAAATAGTTTGTGCTAAGGTGAATTTCTTTAATTGCACTAATTAAGAATGGATATGAATCAGAAAATATAGATTTGGGTGTGATACTTGTCTTTTCTAATATTGTAATAAAAATCTATTAAAAAGTGTTAAATGTTTTGTCATCTAAAATAGCAGTTGCAATGATCCTAAATTAAAAGTGATTATTAATAATAATAATAACACAGAGCATTATTTTAAACCAATTTGTATTTGACATGATATCTAAAATTACTACATCATAGAAATTTTTATATAAAGATCATTGTGATAGTAACATCTATAATAATCTACTTAATTTCCAAGATAATAGTTTTAAATGTACTTTAACTACCTATAAAGGATTGGATTCTTTTAAATTTAATAATGTCTAAAGTATCTGAGATGCATCTGAGTCACCTAGATTGTTTTTAGTCTGGAATTGATATACTATGTTATAAAAATCTTTTTTAAAAATTGAATGACCAAGATAATTATGTTTAAATAATAAATAAATTGACCCAGAATCTATTCAACTATTTATTAAATATTTTTCTATATCTGATAACATTTTTGATGTTAATTTTCTAAACTGTAATGCTATTTTATATACAGTTAAGATAAGGTCATAGTTATGACTATTAACAAATGAGTTAATCTTTAGAATATTACTTATCTTTAGACAAGTAATATTAAGTTGCCAAGAATACTCACTTCATTGTGAAGCTGTATTTCTTTGTCTGGTTGGGTTGAAAGTTATCTGTAATTCATGTACATCTGATCTTGAATATTTGTAAGTAGTACAACATGTTACTTCTCCATCTATCTGACTAGTCCTAACCCTATAGCTGAATCCTTGGTTTTTAGCAAAACTATTCAGCCATGCTTTAAATTCTACCCAACTCACAAAGGTAAGCCCAATTTTTAACTCTAATATGTTGTTCTGATTCTCTAAATCTTTATAGTCTTCAGAATTTGTACTAACAGATTCAGTCATAACCTTACTATTAGGACTAGTGTCACCAGAAAATTGATCTTCTTTAAAAGTATCTTTTGTAAAAAAGCTATAAAAAAAAGAACCAGCATTAACAGAAAGATGATCATTACCAAAAGCATTATCTGAGTTGCTATTATTCAATGTTAAAGAGTTGCATAAAGGACCAGTATCATTAGAAAGATCAAAGTTGTTAGAAGAACTGGTGGCATTAACAAGACAATCATTGTCAAAATCATCCTTTGTATAATTTTTAAAGTTGGTTGACAAACAAACAAACAAGTTTATTAACATTAGTACTAGAAAAAATGTTTACAATTAAGGAAGTAAGTTTGTTTAACAAATAAAAAAGATGTAAAGTTTATTAAACAAATATACAAAAAAAAAAGACAAAGTTTATTATGCATAAAAAAAAACATATATACCTGTGATAAAAAAAAACTATCATTTGCATTTGAACTTTCTGAATCTATATAAAAAAGATATTATTGTAATAAATAGTTTATATAGCTTGTGTTGTATTTGTTTTTTTTTTTTTTGGTATTAAGATGAGGCTTGCTTATATTCTTGTGTTGTATTTGTATTACTCATATAATACAATGATATTTATTTTTATAATGACAAAAGAAAGATTTTATTGTAACTAGTACAATGTTTAGATTTATAATATATTTTCCTCTTGTTATTATCAAAACAATTATGAATTTAAACTCTGCTATTATAAATATTAAACAATATGATCATAATGTCATAATGTGTAATAAATGTAAACCTGGACAAGCAATAATTATCTGTAACATGATGATATTATAATAATAGAATGAACATAAACTCTGAAAAATATAAGCACATGATACCATATGTATATACATCTGGTGTAAATAAGAAATTTTCTATAAAAAAATATTTAAAATTTTTGCTTAAATTTTTAAATAAAAATAATTGATGCTCTACTAGATAAATTAAACAATACTTATAAAAAAAAAGTTATAAAACTTAGAATAAAATACTTATTTAATTTTTGTAGCAAAAAAAAAATATGAATCTATTTTTTTAATAAATAAATATAATAAAAATACTGATATTAAAAACTTTTTTTATCATAATACTCAATATTATAATAAAAAAACTAAAGATAAAGTATTTAATGCTTTAATAAACAAAATAAAAAACTCTCTTTTGTAGATTCTTTAACCAAAAATTGTAAAAAGCAAAAAATACAAAACAACAATACTTTAGATATTAAAAAAAAGACAAAAAAATATAAACTACAAATAACTAAAGTAAAAAGCAAAAAGAAAATCTAAACAAAAACAGATAACAACAAAAAAGAAAAATTTTTTAGCAAAAATTTAAAAATTTTTAAAAAAAGTAGAAATTTTTATTGACTTTATTTCTGCAGATCTATCAGTTATACAAAAACAAAAAGTAAACAACAAACATATGCAAGAAAATAGTTGAGTAAGAACATATGAATATAAATAAAAAAAACATATTAGTATATATTAGATAAATAAAAATAGAAGTATTAAAAAAAGTAATATAAATAGTAAACAACATGGCAATACAAACAAATATAAATAAGTTATTAATACTAAATTTAGTAAGAGAAAGAGCAAGTATTAAACTAGAACAAATAAATAGCAAAGAGCTAGAATTAGAATTAGTAAACAAAGACAACCTTTTTAATGTTAGAGATGTTGTAACAGCATTATTATAAAAAACTGATTTGATGAAAGTAGTAATATTAAAAAAGATATATAAAGTAATAATCAAAATTGATATGAATGATTTAAATAGTATAGAAAAGTGAGCAAAGAGTTTAACTAAACAAATAAAAACCTACTAAAAATCAAAAGTATGAAAAGCATAAAGAAACAAGCATTTAAAAAAAGAAAAATTGCTTTATTAAAAAGTAAAGAACAAGTAACAAATGAAGTAAATAAACAATTTATAATACAAGAAGAAGAGGTAGCTATAGATAACAAATTTAAAATGCTGGCAGAAGATTCACTAATAAAAGAAATCTTAAAAGAAACAATGCAACTGCAAGAGACAAAAGAAATAAAAATGAATAAGAAGATATTAAAACAAAATTTAATACCAGAAAAAAAAATAGAAAAGAAAGAAACAAAACAGAAAAAGAAATTTGTATTCAGAAAGAAATATTAAAGATACCACTAGAGCAAAGTATGTGAATATTAGAAAATAGATTATGTAAAAATAAAACACCAATCACTGCAAAAATCCTATTATACAATGTTTCAGATAAGACAAAGAAAAAAGAATCTGCATAGTCAAATAGGTACTAAACATAAACAAACATATTGCAAGTATAAAAAAAGTATTTACAAAAGGCAACAATTAGATAAAAATACAATTCAACTATGAGAAAGAAAGAAAAAAAGCAATAGACCATTTGGACTAAAAGTATAAAGAATGGTTTAAAATAATACCAGATAAGACAAAATACAAAAAAGTAAATAAAAAAGAATATAGAAGAAAGTTAAATAGAGAAAAAAAAAAAACCAACAGAAAACAAAAAAAAAAAAGTTCTTATATAAAAGAAGCAATTAAAAGAAAACTTAAAATAAGTAAAAAAAGAAATTAAGCAGTATGAGCAAAGATACTTAACAATATAAAATCTGTCATCAAATCTTAATAAAAATAAATCAAATATATATGCAGAAACTTTAAAAACACAAGCATAATATAAGTAAAGAGATTATTATACAAGTTATTAGCAAAAATAGAAGTGAGTCTAAAAAAAAAAAAAACATATCTTGAATACTACTACTTGGCAACAACAAACTAGCATATCTAATAGAAGAAAATAAGAACTATTATTAAAGAGATAAACAAGAGTAGCATATAACTAAATTACTAGATATCTCAAAAAGAGCCTCAAAAATGCTTCTGTTATAATGCTTTAAAAGTAAAGAAGCAAAAAATATATATATTCCAAGTAACAAAAATGACAATTAGAAAAAATTTGCAATAATTACCTTTGCAAGTGCCTAGACAGCAAAGAAAGCACAAACATCTTCAATTTGGTATAACAACTACTGAGTTTGCTAAAAAATCCTTAAAAGAAAAGAGTTCAAAAGAAAGAAAGAGAAGAGTCAAAAGGTAGAAGACAAGAAAGATCAAAAATAGAAATAATAAAACAAAATTTATTAGAAACTAAAAATGTAAAACAAGAAACTCCAAATAAGAAAGGCATAGAAATAGAATATGTTAGTTAGAATATAAAAGAGTGATTAGAAGACAAAAACATCAATAAAAAAAAGAAAAAAAATTTAAAAGAAAAAAAAAACAAGAACAGTTATACAAGTCTAACTAAAGACTACATAAATAAAGAACATTTTAGGCTGAATTTTAAACAGATTAGACAGACTAAAAGAAATGCAGTTAGACATAAGAGAAAGGCTAACAAATTATTTCTAAGAATGACCTAGTTGAACTTGTAGATATAGACAAAAAGATTAGAAACTTTTTGCAAAATAAGAAAAGAGGTTTTGAATAAAAAAAACAAAAAAAAACAATAAACATAGATATAAGACAAAATCAATTAATAAAAAAATGAAATAAAACAAAAAAAGAAATATGAATATTATGCCATAATATTAATAGCCTAAAAACTAGAGAATAAAAATTAGAAAGTCTGCTTAGCTGAGCAAAAAGAAAAAAAATAACAATTTTAGGAATAACAGAAACAAACATTGCAGAAAAGAAGAAAAAATTTTATTATATAATCAAAATATGCAATACAAAAAATATTAGGTTAGTGCAATATTAAACAAGAAAGAAGGATCAGATATAGATATACTAATAGATAAAAGATAAGAAAAACATGTAGAAGCAATTAAAAGGTCATCAAATATATAATAAAAGTGCAATTATACTTTAGACAATTGGAATTAGTAATAATAAATGTATACATTTTACTAAATAACAAGCTAATCAATAAGAAAATTTAGCAAAAAATTGTAAAAGTAGTATCAAATATAAAAAGATATACAAAAGTAGTTATATTAGAAGACTTCAACTATACAGTAGACAATATTCTAAACAGACAATATTTGCAAACAATAGGTTAAAAAAATTGGCAATATTTAACTGACTCAGAAGACAAGAATTTATAAATTTATACAGAAGTTTATACCTAACAGAAAGAGTATATACATAGTCAAATTATAAAGTGATAACAAGAATTACCTATATTTGGCTATTAAAAACACTTGCAGCAAGTTTTTAAAAAGCTAGCATAGAAGAGGATAATGATCCTAGTATAGTGGTTGGGTTGTTATTCTTCAAGTGGCAGGTCTAAGGTTCAAATCTCATCTACAATAAAATTTGAAAATTATATCTGCATTATAGTAACTGTCTCCTGTCAATCAGTTGACTTTATACAGCTGTAACTCAGATACACCAAGTCAGGTCTTACCAACATTGGAAGCTTAGAGCATCTATATAAAATGTAACATTATATATATATAGAGGAATGTATAACTGGTGTTGCATAAGATCTTGGTGCAAACCTACAATAAGACCACTGAATATAAAAGATTAAAGAACTGAAGTGACAGAAACCTACTTGAAAATTCTCAAGTAAAAAGGTAGCATAAACTTTTGATGGTATCATCAGACTGGTTGAAGCCTATAAAACACTTTTATAAAAACTGAAGATTAAAACCTGACATCAAATATGTGTAGAAGAGCAAATAACCAATCAGGCTACTGGATTTACTGAAGGAAAAGGATATAGAAGTATACTATACTAGGTCATCTGAATTGGTAGTCTAAAATGAGACTGACAGTTTCAAGTTGCAGCAGTAAAAGATGATAGAAAAGATGCCAAAAAGATAAGTACTAGGGTTTTAGTAAACTTTATAAGGGTAAAAATAGTATAATGTAGCAGTTAAACAAGTAATCTTTGTGACTGCAAGTGTTAGATAACTATAACATATTGCATAAAACTTGATCTATATATGTAGGACATAAAGGCTCTAGTAAATTTTCTGTTAAGGATAAAGTAGTTCTAAGGGTAATAACTAGCATCAAGAACTTGAATAAGTGAAGCCTTGAGATGTTTTTATAATATAAGAAAGATTGTATATGCAGAGGGTTTAAATAAACAAGACATCTAGTTGGCTTGCAGATATGGCAACTAGTATAGAATTTATATAACAATATGTAGATAGACTACTTAAATTAGGCACCAAAAGTGCATGTATAGCTAGTTGTAACCTCTAATATAAGGTGAGCTTCTGATGGCATACTATGTTCTAATATACTTGAATAAAAATATTATATTCTTAAGATGAGAACTTTAACTATAAAAAAAAAAAAAAAAAGCTAACATAAAAGATGCAAAAGGATTAATAGATAATAATCACAAAATATAATAGCAAAGATATAGATAAGATATGCAATTAGAATTATAGTAGTGTAGAAATTAAATGTAAAAACTAAACAAAAACAATATATTTCTATAAAAAAATAAAGTAAGAAAATTAGAAAAAATATACTAGACAACTGCAAAACTAATTAGAATAAAAAAAAACTTAAACAACTAGAAGATAAAAAAATAGATATAGAATATGATATAGATATAATAAATTGAGTATATTAGAGCAGTTTTTTAAAGTTTAAGTCAATGATTAACTTCAGATTATAAATTGATGTTTGATCAATAATCAACATTACTGCTACAGTTTATCAGACAGAAATTTGTCTAATTGGCTATTTGTAGATCAATTTGTAGATCTATATGTAATTATTAGCCAATCAAATAATATAATTAGCAATTTATTTTTTCAGTACTAAACATGAAAACAAATTAATAAATATATATAATTTATTAAGTTATCTATATATAAAAGATAGATAGATACATATAAAGTAGAGTCAAAGTGATAAAACAAAGCTCAAATCACTAACTTTACTATCTATTTATCTTTTTTTCAGTATTAAAGTGATTTTTTTGGTCCTAGCTTTTTATTAATACTTATGTCAGATATATGTTTTATATAGATGTATTCATATTGAACTATCAAATGAATGTATAACTGACTATATATATAACTTTTTTATATTACCTATTTAAGAAGTCTATCTGAAAGTTTCTCACTAATTGCCATACCTAACACTTTTGCTTAGATATTCTATTTAAACTCTCTGATCTGATCTTGGTATTAATTTCATCAGATCACAGACTCAGATTTATTTGCTTTTAACTATAGGACTATAATCCTTAGACTATTTTTATCCTCAAAGTAAACCTATCAGAGTGAGCTATATTTCCTTTTACTGCTAACCTGATTTGATGCTATGGCTGAGACCAATACTTGCAGTCAGGATTACTTCTTAAACTGCTATTATTCTTGTAAAGTTCAGTCAAACTTTGGTACTTATCTTTTTAACTTCTTCTTTATTATCTCTTACTAGCTATAACTTGAAATTAACTAACTCTTCAAACTTCCAATCCAGATAGGCTAGTTTGATATACTTATATCTCTTTTTCCTTTAGTGATTCTGGCAGCCTGATTGGTCATATGCACCTTTACACATTTTGTTATTTGGTTTATTTGACAGTTCTTATAAAGATGTTTCATAGGCTTTTATTGGTTTAATAGCATCATCAAAAGTTTGTGCTATTTTTTTATTTAGGATTTTCAAGTAGGTTTCTATCTTCTTAGTTTTTTAGCCTTCTATATCTGGTAGTCTTATTATGAGTTTGCACCAAAGCCTTTTATGACATCAGATTTTTATATTTCTCTATATATATGTAATATTACATTTTGCATAGATGCCCCAAGCTTCCAATATTAGGTAGAGCCTGACTTGGTATATCTAAGATTACAAATGCCCAAAACCCAACTGATTGACAAGAGACAGTTACTATAATACAAATATAATTTTCAAAATTCATTGTTTATGGGAATTGAATCTTAGACCTGCCACTTGAAAGTTGACAACCTATCTACTTTACTAGGTTGTCACACCTCTTTTTGTAATAGTTTATAAAATTACATTATCAAAAAAGTTATTAAAAAAGTTAAAAGATCAAAAAGATCATTTTAATACTAAATAAAAAATAATAAAATAAAAAAAAACATTAAAATTAAAATATAATCAATTACACAAAAATATTAATCAAATAAAAAAAAATTTAAATAATGTTTTAAAAATTAATTAAAGAAAATAAACAACTAAAAACAAATTATAATAAACTTTTAGCTAACTATAATTTTTTAAAAAAAGAACAGTTAGATAAAGATAAAAATAAATTAGAAAAACAAAATTCTGATAATGAAAAAAATTAATTGATATTAATATTAATATTACAAAACTTGTTAATATAGTTAAATCATTGTCTTTAAATCTTTTATATAAAATTAATATTTATATAGATAAATTAAATCTAAAGTTATTAATACTGCAAATGCAGTTCTTGCTTTAAAAAAATTAGTTAAAATATATAGTTAATTTTATTTTTTATTTTTTTATTTTTTTTTAATATTAAGATGATCTTTTTGGTTTTTTGACTTTTATTAATATAAATTTATATTTTTTTTTGGTATTATATATAAAGTAGTGATTTATGATTGTAATTTTTGGCATACTTTTTTTTTTATAAATCTATTCTAAATATGGCATAGTTTCATAACTTTAAATATCTAAAACTTTACATAAATCAATAAAAAGTTTACTTAATAGAATTGTTAACTTTGCTAAATTATCTCTACTTACCTTATATTACAAAATTATATTTAATCAAATAACAGTAAAAATAACTTATAAAAAGTTAATAATATACTATCTGTCACAACTGTAATTTATATAATACATTTTAATTTGAAATCATATAAACTATTTTTAAAAAATTAGACTTTCAAAATAATGCTCACAGTGTTATATTACACTTATATGCTAATATATCAAAAAAATAATAAATAAAAATTGAGATTACATATAATAATAATTATATAATAATATGTATTTAATTATATTAACAATTTAAAAAAGTATAAGATATAATTATTTAATATAATAATTAACTGCTAACAATTTATTATTTTAATTGTAATTCACTTAAATTTATTTAGAATTCTGTTGTCTTACATCTATTTAGAATTGATAAAATTTGATATTAATATTTAACACATATACTATAAATGTTAAGTTTATTTTTTTCTTTTAACAAATTTTGATAATTAATAAATGTTTTATATTTATTATAACTCTTAACTTTTTATAATAAATAAAAGTTTTATATATTTTTTTAAACTAATATTGATATAAAACAAATATATACTAAACTATAAACCTAATTTATTAAAAAGCAAAAATTAGAAATATAACAAAAGCCATTAATAACTAAAACTCTTACCTATATGTTAGTTGTTTATTGCATTAATCTCATTAAAAAATTGTATCTAGAACATGATAATGTAACTGATATTTTTTTACTATATATTCTGCAGTTTTTTTGATAAACTTTTACAATATATATCTATATATCTAAAGACCTTTTAAGTATATCATTTAATCTTAATAAGAGATACTAATTTGAGAACTTGTAGCATAATTTTTTTTAAGCCTTTTCATATATAATCACAGTGATTTTATGCATATCATTTTGCTAATTCCCAAAAGTTTTCTATATAATTTAATTCACAATAGAACTTCAGATAAAAAATAACTTTATAACTTATAAATATAATTATTTCTTTAAGTTTTTATATTGTGCTTTAAAATCTGGTTGATTTGCCATTGTAGTTCTAGCACAACAGTAATTATTCCTTGTTTATACTCTTACTTATATTTCAATTTTATTCTGTTATACTACAATCCTTTTTTATTTAATACTTGTTTTAATTCTTTCAATTTATTATACAAATCAGAATTCTTATAATTCTTAAAAAAGCACATATCTTGTAAAATATTGTTTTTATATAAGATACTTTTAAATATTTAAAAATATTAAATATCAATATATTAGTATAAAAAATTTAGAGTAAAAAATATAAACCTTATTTTTAACTGTTTATCATTAGAAGATAAATTCATGTTTTTTGCTAAAAGGACATCTTTAGTATATATGCAATGACTAGTTAAATTATCAAATAAAAAAAGAGCTTTTGCATCTGAAAACTAAGCTTCAAATATTAGAATCACATAGTTTATTATCTGATCTACAAGGTCATTAAAGTTCATTACTTATTACTATTTTTACTTGGATAAGTTAAAATGCATGCTTCTGATGAAAGGTTAAAAAAAGCAATTTAAAAAATTAATTTTAAAGAAATTTCTAATTATACAAAAAGCAAATAAAAAAAACCTAAAATTTATATATATCTTGTTTTCTTTATGCAATACTAAATGTTTACCAATATTAGTAAGAAATTTACTAATATAAACTAACCACCCTTGATCTTTTTTACAAAATACTTGTTTTTTTTTTGACATCTATAACTAATGTCTTTCATCATATGTTAAGAAAATATACTTATTATGTATTATATAAAAAAATTTCCTTGCAAAATTTTAGTATAAGACATGTATCGTTATGATTATAAACCTGACTCTAATGTACCAAAATTAAAATATTATGAAAAGTAGGTTAAGTTTCTTCTTTTATGCTTTTATTAGAAAAACTATTATACACTTTTTATATTCTATTATTTTTTTAAAAATTTTTTTATAATAAGCTATCACATCTGCATATTTATAACTGTTTATATATATTTTTTTTCTAACTGCTGAATATTCAAACTCAAATACTTTTAGCTATTTTCTAGCTGTTTTTATGCATATTGTTAATGATAAATTAAAGCAAAATATTTTCTTATTCACATGCTTAGCAAGTTTACTTGAATTGATATTTTATTTATTAGATTGAAAAAAGATTTAATTTGTATTAAAATATTATCATTCAACAAGAAGCTCTAAGTTCTTAGATGTTACCTTATTCTGAAACTAAAAACATACTGTTTTTAACATAATTTATTGCTCATATACATATATAACAAGCATGCCAAGCATCTTTTTCAGTTGTTTTAGCTACTATAATTTTTAACTCAATCTTTTTTTAGCTATGTTTTACAAAATAAATATAAGATAGCATTGCATAGAAGTGAACTTATCTACTTTACTATGTTTAATATTCTTAATTTCATTTTCTAATTTTTTAATAGTATTATCTAATTTTCTAGAAAATTTGATACTGTAATTCTTCACAATTTTGACTTTAACCTTATTTTTAAAGATTTCAAACTCACTATCTAAGTCAATAATATCTGGATTTATATATGCATTTACTGTCTTTTTAAATTAAAATATCTTAAACTACATATATAATTTATATTATAATTTATTAGTTGAGTAAATAATAACTTACTAATAACTAATATATTATAACTTTAGTCTTGATGTTTCAACTATGGCTTCTCTTCACATTTTTTTTTCATTTTTTTGTTTTTACTAAACCTCCTATATATACAAGCAGATAATAAGTATAATAACACTATTTGCTTCATTAGTTTTCAAAATACTTATTTCTTTATCATTATTTTTAGTATAATTAAATTCATCATTACAGGTCTCTAACATATTTGCTTAGTTGGCTTTCTTTCTCTGAGTCTTTTGTAAATAAACTTTTCTTTTAGATAATTGTATCATTTAATATAATACTATATATCTTTATTTCTGATATATATATATATATATATATTGAATTTTGAAAAAAATAACTTCAATTTACTTTTTTTAATTTATCTTTTTTATATTTTATTACATTATAAATAAACTATTTATAATAATTAAATAAATAATAGATTTTTTTATATTACAAATTATAAAATGCCTTTTAGAATTTATTTATATAGTTTTAAATACTATTGTCAAATAAGATATTTGTTCTTATTATAATTTAAAACACTCATTTTAGTCTTGATTCACCTTTTTTCCACCCTTTTGCCTACTATTTGCCAATAAAATTTATTGCTTTTTTATCTGTACTCCTATTCTTATTGTTTATTATTTATCAAACATTAAACTAGTTAGTATATGAACTTTTTGAAATATAGTTTTACTTTTCTTATTTATTATTTTTTTTACTTACACTTCTAATTTTATTGTTTGCTAATTTAAATTCATAATTATTGTTTATTAATTTTAAAATATAACTTTACTTCTTATTTATTATTCTTTTATTTACATTTTTATCTTTATTGTTTGCTAATTTAAATTAATATTATTATTATTTATCAAATTTTGAGCTAGTTAGCAAGTAGACTTTTCTAAATCTAATTTACTTTTCTTATTTATTTAACTTATTCATAATCATATTATTTTAGTTTGTATTTTTAATCTAATACTAATTTTTTTTTTTTCACTTTGACAGTCTTGCTGATACTCTTTATTAAGATTTCGTTTATATACTAACAAACATTTTTAAACTTAATATGCTAAGTCAACATCTTACAGTTACTTCTATGAGTACTTACAAGTGATCTGCTACACCAGTTGCCTAATTTTCTAAAGAAAAATAGAAGATTTGAAGGGCTTATCTGACTACTGTTCTACAATAGAGTATTACTAATCTAATAACACTTTCTCATAGGAAATTGAAAGAAGAAAAAAAAAAAACACTAAACTAAACTAAAAAGAGATATAAGAAGAAAAAAGAAAAGAAAAAAAGTGTCAGAGAGTACATTTTATTTGTGACCATTTAGGATACTAGTACTTTAAACCTGTGCTAAGAATTTAACTACACTATAATCTGTGCTAAAGAAGTAAAAATTATATATATATGATTTTAGAAATTACTATATATTTTTAATTTGCTATAATCTTTTAACTTAAATTCTTCTTTGTTTTTTCTTTACACCATATATTAGGCTGTACATATAATTGTTGTATTCTTATTACATCATGTTACAACATGTAACTGTCCAAAAAAAGAAATAAACAATGCTAATCTTTTGTAAAAAGGGAGCCAATTTCTTTACTTTTGAGTAAAAAAATGAAATAGATAGAGAAGGTCAACAAATGTGATATGTGAAAAGCCAAACCAAAGAGAGTGTTTCCAGTTGTTTATTTGTTTTCAAGCTTTTGATAACCTTTAACCAAAGTCTTTTTCTATTGTTTCCAGAATGTCCTTCTGGTTTGGGTACTAAACATGTTGGAGAGTCCACTAACAGACAAGGCTTAACCTCAACACAAACTACCAAAAGAGTCACCTGCATCTCAGTTTTTTTACATACTTCTAGTTTGTTAACAACAATCTGCTTTATATATTTAAACAGAATTAAAGATATCATTATCTTAAAAGCATAACTCTTTAAACTGTTTTGGTGCTGTTTTGGTTTAAGTAATTGTCAGAAAGGATTCTATAGCATTAAATTTGCATACAGTTTTTTTACAAAAACTAAATTAAAAAAAATTAACAACTAAATTGCTAACTAATTTTTTATACAAGATTTATATTTTAAATTTTATTTTATTTTTATTTTTTTTATTTTTTAGTATTAAGATAATCTTTTTGATCTTTTAACTTTATTAATACTTTTATTAAGTATCATAATGAGCATACAACTGACTACATATATAACTTTTCTATATTATTTATTTAAAAGGTCTGCTCGAAGATTCTCTACTAATTGTTATATCTAATATTTTTGCTTAGATGTTCTATTTAAACTCTCTAATCTAAAATCTTTGTACTAACTTCACTAAATTACTTGTATTCAGATCTTTATTTTAATCTTAGAACTATTTTATCTTTGAAATAAACTTACCAAAGCCTCTGTGTCCTATATATAGCTAATCTGGTTTTTATATAACACACTATAGTTATCTAATACTTGCAATTAGAACTAACTTTAAACTGCTATATTATACTATTCTTATTCTTATAAAATTTACCAAAACCTTAGTTTCTATTTTTTTAACTTTTTCTTTTCATCTCTCTACTATCTAACTCAGAATTTGACAGACTTTTCAAATTTTCAATTCAAATAACCTAGTATAATATATTTTAGTATCCTTTTTCTCTAGTGATTCTAGTAGCCTGGTTAATTATATGTTTTTCTATACATCTTGTCATTTAGTTGCATGTTTGCCTATTTCTTATTGAGGTTTTGTAAACTTTCATCAGTTTAACAGCACTATTAAAAGTTTGTGTTATTATTTTACTTAGGAATTTTCAAGTAGAATTCTGTCTTCTTAGTTTCTTAGTCTTCTGTATTTGGTAGTCTTATTATAGGTTTGTACTGAATTTTTATGCAACATTAAGTTAGTAATAAAAAAGAATATAGCTCACTCTAATAGGTTTATCTTAAGAATAAAATAGTCTAAGGATTATAGTTTTAAAGTTAAAACAAAAGAATCTGGATCAAGTGATCTGATGAAGTTAATACTAGAATTAGATTAGAAAGTTTAAATAAAACACCTAAGCAAGAGTGTTAGATATAGCAACTGGTAAGAAACCTCTAAGCAGATTCTTTAAATAAATAATATAAAAAAGTTATATATATAGCTAGTTGTATACTTGTCTATATAGTTTAATATAAATATATATCTATATGAATATATATCCAATATAAGAATAATAAAAAGTCAAAAGAGGGTGTAATAACCTAGTAAAGTGGTTAGGTTGTCAACCTTTTAAGTGGTAGGTTGAGTGTTCAAATCCTATTGATAGCAAAAATTTGGATAATCATCTATATAATATTCATATTATAGCAACTGTTACTAATGATTAGATTAGAATATCTGTAATAACAATCACACCAGCATGACTGGCAGGTCATAGGGCATCTATATAAGTATAGCATTACACAGAGGAATGCAAACTAACAAATTAGATAATGCAAACACTGGATAAGTCCTTGTGGCTGTATAAATCTGTTAAAATTAGGTAACAAGAAGTTCATTTGGAAAGACCTAAGTAAAGAGGTAGCTGGATCTTTAATGGCTCTACTGTAAAAACTAGCCTAGGGAAACAAATACCAAGGTCATAGTACCCAGTCATAGTAGCCAGACAGACAAAAACCTTTAGGTTGGGA